TTGTTAAAATGCATTAATGTTTATAGTGATTATGATTACGAGAACTAATAATAAATACTTGCATATACCTGGAACACAGCCCAAATCCTACTGTTTCACAAGAAAGACTCAGTGTAAAGCCTTTGCTCTTTGGAAAGCTGCACACAGAAAAATCTGAGACCAGTCTAGACCCACAGAACGTCTGCTACATGCCAGAAGCAGGCTAATCAAATTCTCCCCAGACCTCCTCTAATGCTTTAGAAAATGAGAAAAGAAAAATGGCTATCTTAATTGCATCTTTTCATTACTACCAATTTGGATAGGTTGACTGTATAAAAATAGTCTTTGGACTATTGCATCACATTGCATTTCTGATTATATCAAGCCCAGTACAAGTCAAAGAAATAGTCACAGTCAGAAATGGCTTATAAAAGCTACTGTCAATGACACAGTTAGTTCTTAGGAGCTCCTAATAATCTTATAGGCCAAACTGCAGCCCATCTCATCATGCTTCTGTCTGTCCAAAGATGGTTTAGCTCAAGTACTAAAAAAACTTGCTGGTTAATGAGGCCAAGGCCAAGGTCAGGGTCTGATTTGCTGTGGGCCAGTTACCTCTCCTGAACTTCCCAGTTACACCCTGTGGAGAGGTCATTGATCCTGAAGAATCCAGTTCTTTCTACTACTCAGAAAGGTACATTTGCTTTAAACTCCAGCCCATAGCACTACTGTTATGTGCAAGGTGCAGCATGATCCCTACTTTAATTCCAAAGTTTCTCTGGCCCTCTGGAAGCAAAAAACTCATAATATTCCTTCTCCCAAGCAGCAACAAAGGTTGCTGACTACTTTGTTCCCAAAAAGGAAAAAATAAAAAAGTTTTCAGGTACCATTCAGGATATCATTTTCCCTTTCATGGCCATGGAAAAGGTTTTCATTATAAAATATCTCACTAGGGGAGATGATAAGGAAAATGATATTTATATGACAGTAGGAAAACATACTTTTCAGAGTCGTAAGAGGGTAAAAATCAAATTTGTCCTAAAGAAGTATTTGCTGTACTAAAAGAAAAAGTGTGTGTGTGTGTGTGTGAGAGAGAGAGAGAGAGAGAGAATGAGCACAAGAGCAGGCGGGCGATAAAACTGAGAAAGGGATGAACTTTTAAGCTATTCAAATCTCCAGGGTATTGCGTGTCCCTTTTACAGGACAAAGGGGCAACTTGTACTCCATGCACAATACCAAGGACTATATAAGGCAAATGTTTACAAACTGTGATGGATTGTTTAAGCCCAAATGTTTCCCTCCTGCCTCAGGATTCTGTGTCTACATGAAGTTTAAAAGGCTTTTAAAGATAAGGTAAGCCACCAAGAACTTGAAAACCAATGAGAAAGCTGTTTGCTTGTCAACCTGATACGGACTGATTTACTGATAGCCAATCCACAGCTTGAAAAGTGATGAAAGAAACTCTAGCAGGGTGTAAGTTTGTGGGCAATGCCTAGAAAAGATGATTGGCTGAGGCCAGAGAGTGAAACACAAAGAATAGTGGGAATAAAATAACACACTTTATAATTTTCTACCCTATCCACCACTTCTAAACAATGTTTTTTGGAGTGACCAAGCCATTGCTGGACTTGGAGTTAGAGGATCTATATCCAATTTGGGCACCTGGGCAAGTCTCCCACTTTCTCTGCTCTTCCTTTGTCTGTGTGATGAATGGCCTCACTGAGGTCTCCCTCAGTTCCCCCCTTGTCTTGCTCTGAGATTTCTTCATTCATCCTCTTGTCAGGTTCATTTCCTCCACTGGGCTATCTTTGGCTTCATTTTGATTTTTTATAGCTTTATTATGATATAATTAACACACAACAAACTGCCCACATTTAAAGCATTGATTTGATAAATTTTGACAGACACCTGTGAAATCTTCACCAAAAGTTTAAACATAAAATGGGCTGGGGGTGTAGGTCAGGAGTAGAGCCTATCTTGTGTAAGGCCCTGGTTTGATCCCTAGCTCCACAAAAATTTAAACCAGACAAAACATCAACAACCCCAGGATATTTTCTCATGTCCCTTTGTTATCTCTTCTTCTTGCCTCTTCTCATCATCCCCTTTAAGAAAAAAATTACCACTGACCTGATTTCTATCATCATAGATTGGTTTGCATTTCCTAAAATTGTATATGTAATTGGAATCTTATGGTATATACTATAGTTTTGGTATGAAATCTTTCACTGGGCGTAATTACATTGAGACTCATTTACATTACTATGTGTTAATAGTTTGTTACATTTTAATGCTAAATAGTATTCCATTGTATGGATGTACCACAATTTATTGATCCTTTCATCTCTTAATTAATATTTGTTTCCTGTTTTATGCTATTTCAAGTAAAACTACTATAAATATTCCTGTACAAGTTTTTGACTAGACATGAACTTTTATTTCTCTTTGGTAAATATATGAGAGTTGAATGGCTGTAAAGTGTGGTAATAATGTGTGTGTGTGTAACTTTTTAAGAAACTATTGAGCTATATTCCAAAGTGGTTAGCATTTTATATTCTCATCAACAGGATACAAAAGCTCTGGTTACTCCAAATTCTCTCATCTTGCCATTAGCCATTCTAGAGTGTGTATAGTGGTGTCTCATTTTGATTTTATTTGTATTTTTCCAATGATTAATCATATCAAGCATTTTTATGTGCTGCCTTGCTATATATATATATATATATATCTTTTTAGATTAAAGTTCTGTTCAAAACTTTTAGGTGGGTATTATTTTCTCATCATCTATTTTTTTCAAGGTCTTTATATATTCTGGATATGGGTATTTTATCAGATTTGTCATTCACAAATATTCCTCTTAGTACATGAGTTGAGTTTTAATTCTCCTAATAGTTTCTTTAAGAACACAAAAATGTTTTATTTGTGTTCTTAAAGAAACTATTAGGAGAATTAAATTATATTATTTGTTATTTTATAAATCATGATTTTGGTGTTGTATTTAAGAAATCTTTGCATAAATCATGGTCACAACGTTTTTTTTTTTCCTATATTTTCTTCTAGAAGTTCAACAGTTTTATGCTTTACATGTATGTCTATGATCTAGTCTGAGTTAATTTTTTATGTATGGATATAAATATATACAATTTTTAACTAGAGGGATGAAAATTATATAACTAGGAAAAACCTTGAATTTTTAGTTGAGAAAATAAGGAAAAAAAATACTTCTAATATTCTAAATGGTAATGTTATATGTTCTTATTGCCTTCTTCAGCTGAATCTACCTAACACACAGGCCTCTGAAGTAGCTTTGCGATTTACAAATGGCTTAATTCATTGTATATGATTTGTGAGGTAAGTTAAGGACAAGTAATAATAGGTAAAAATGAAAAAGTCAGCAACTTAGAAGCTATCAGAAGTGTTTGCTCTCATGAGTCAGATTGGACACTAAATGGAGGAAAGAAAACTAGGATAGTTTATACCAAAGAGAGAGAATGAAAAGGAGGAGGAAATGGAAGAGGAAAAGAAGGAGCAGTCAGGGGTGGGGGAAGAAAAATGCTATGCCAGAAAGTGTCTAAGCCTGGGACAAGTCATCACTTTATTATTGCATTTTCTACTTGAAGACTGGGCTGCTGAATCATCAGTGCCACAGGATCCAACCTTTGCAAAGTGTAAGATTTGAATGAACAAAGGACAATGTTGGGAACCAATAAGGGTTCCTTACCAAGCAAAACAATACCTCCCCTTCCTACAGTTTGGATGCTTCCCTTCCCATGGCTCTCAGAACCTACATGCCTGAAGACAAAGCAATGATTTGGCAAAAGCTAACCAACAAACAAAACAAGCAAATATGCCTTGCCTAACATTAACTACTGCAAGCCACTGTGATTGGTAGATAGGTGCTATATTTGTTTTGCTGCCTGAAAATCCCTAAAATGCTCCCCCAAATGGTCCCTGATTTGAACTTTGTTATGCTACTTCTATAAGAGGATAATGAAGTTTTCCTCCTCTTAGCTTCAGAAAGAAAGATAATAATTCATTTCTTAGGTTGCACTTAAGAAAATAGAAAATAGCAGAGGAAAGAGGCCTCAGGCTGAATCACCCTCTCACTTGCCTTCACCCTGTTCCTGAGACAAAGGAGGTTTAGTCCCTCCTTGTAAACCTTAGGGGAACTGGAGTCCATTCCAAAGGTGAGTGTATGTTTGTGTTTGCACATGTGTGTTTGTGTATCTAAGTACAGAAGAGCATGAGAATGACTGATATATGATATATTGACTAAAGCTAGAATGCTCTTGGGATAAATCTTGCCTTTTTGCAGCTCATTTCTACCAGCAGTGGAAAGTAACTAACATTTGTTGAACACCTAAATGTTCTAGTATTTTCCTACGCCTTTTATTTATGTCATTGCTATTTTTATAAATGCCTGAAATGAGGTAATATTAATATTGTCATTTTACCAAGAAAGCCACAGAAACTCCTAGCAATTAAATAACTCAATCAAGATCACATTATTTATAAATAGCAGAAGAGACTTGAACCCAACTAAGTTTTCTTGTCTCAGAAGACCTCTCCCAAGTATAAGCACTTCTATTCATAGCCCAATGAGGGCCAAATTGTACAAAAACTCACATCACAGGAAATTTAATTTACTTCAGAGTAATAGAATTGTTTTTTTTAAATCACTGAAAGTTACTTTATGACAAATGGAAATACATATTTTTTTATTTATTAAGCATGAATTTATTGGGAATATTCTACAGAGCAGAATTTATTCAGACAGGATGTAAGAATTTTCTTCTACTTTTTAAAAATTTGGAAATATATTTATTGTACAACAATTCACCACTATCATTTCACTTTGTAAGGATTAAAATTTGTTAATAAAAGGAAGAAAATCCAAAAGACTAAAATAAAGTCCATGAATTTAATGATCAAAAAATAAACAAATAAATTTTTACTTTACCAAAGGAGCTCTAACTTGAAAATTGACCAGTTATGAGTTAATATTAATTTTTTTCTTGTATCCAGGTTTTGGAAAACAACACTGGGGGTCTGAAGCAAGAGTTCATGGTTGCATTCCTGACTCTGTCTCTTATGCTATATAACTTCCTGCAGGTCACTCATTATCTCTGGGATTCTATTTCCCATCTGGAAAATGAGGGCTGCAATTATGATCCAGCCTGGACATTCTGCAACAAGGAACAAGATCATGTTAGATTTGCCATTTGTGATTTATTGTTTCATAACTTTGCAGGAGACAAGGCAGATTTTACAGGCTGCTCCCCAACCCTACCACCTCTAACAATTTGAGATCTAATTTAAACCCTCTAAAGAAAGTGGAAAACTCTACCTGGCGGGCTCATTAATCCCCATCAGCAGGTCCTGGTTTCCCTGGTAATCTCAGCTGACACTTGAGGGATGTGTGACTTTGCCTCTGTGCAGCAATGCCCCATTGTGCACCTGGAAAAGACAGGGAAGACTGTGCTCAATGTTGAAACACTTAGCTGGAATATGAGCTGGAAATAGTCATCAGTCCGTGGATCTTTGCTGGAAAATCTCAATGTAAGATCAGGATGGATTGCAGCAGATCTGTTTTTTTCTTTTTTTTTTTTTTAGTTTTGGAACATCTTTGTTTTGCAATGGCACATTCATTTCTTTGGGACATCATATTGAGTTTGGTGAACTGGTTTTTGTTTCTTTCCCTCCACTCATTTCAATGATAGTTTTATTAGAAAGGCAATTCTGAAAAACACCGGCATGTGTGACAAATCTGTAGAAAGTTGCCCCCAACTCAGAGCACACATTACAAGCTATAGCACAACCTGTTTTTTTTTTCCACCTCTCTAGGCATAGGGAAGATAAACACAGATATTAACCTTTATTTCTCCCTCAATGCTGGTTGTGCACTTACTTGAAAGCAAGATATGGAACTTTGGATGTATATGCATATGTCTAACAGAGGGAATAAAGGTACACTGGGAATTAAGCAATTTGACATTTACATAACAACCATTTATGACTCTGGGGGATATGAAACAATAGAGAAAATTCTCAGCACAGGGCTGAGGTTTCCACTGCAGGATTCCCAGGACCATTAATGAAAATCGTGTGGCTGAATCTTGTCACATCTGCTGAGAACTTAGCCTGAAGTGTTCTCATTATGCAAACTTTGGGAGCTCACAAACAGTGGATTGAGTTAGCATGCTCTCTTCTGGGTGCCAGTCTTGCCCATATTCTTTTTGTCCCATCCATTGCAACATGCAGTTTTCTTTTATTTTGTTTTATTTCCCTCAGGTTATTTCTGAACCATAAGTGGGAACAGCAAGGAACAGAAGGAGAAAATAAGTTAACAATGACTATCAGCTTCATGGGATCCACTGCTACTTGTAGTATGCTGTCTTTCAGAGGAAGAACCATTTAAATTGGGCTTTGCATGGTGCAACCAATTAAATTGCTCTCATTTTCAGCATCTGAACTAGATTTTTCATGAGAACAGAGCCAATGTCAGAGTTCATCATAAGGGGGCATTAAAGAGAGTACCAGGGTGTGGTTCTCTGTACAGCATAAACTCCACCATCCATCTGTGAGTGAAGATGGAGCCCTGCCTGAACCACCTCCTCTTCCAATGTTCTGGAAGATGCCAGAAGATGGTGCTTATAAAATGGCTTACCTTGGCACCATGTGCTTGGAAAACAAAGAGCACTATTTAGCTCTTCTTCTTCCCTTGAAGTCTGCATCTCCCATCATTTTAATGCTTCATGTTGCACTTCTCACGTGGGCACACCCAGGCATGCAACAATGGGGATGGCCCTGCTCAATAGCACACCAAGCTTCAGAGAATTTAATCGTATCATTGATGCTAGGACCTGGATCAAAATCAAGCAGAAAATTCCCTCTCAAGATCTGAAATGTTTTTCTTTTTCCCCAGTAAATTCACCTCATTTTCAGAAGTTATAGACATAGTTTTTCTTTGGTTTGGTTTGGTTTGGTTTGGTTTTTAGCATGTTAGGGAAATAGCCAGACAACTCATTGTTCAAGTGCAAAAATGCTCTGAGAGAGAGAGAGACATTACTTATTTTAAAAATTATTCTAGATGTGATTCATGAATTTTGATTAAGAAATAAGAACATGCAGTTATTCTTTCCTTCTTTCTAAACATTTGTTGAATTCATGATCTATGTCACAAAGTGAAAAAGCATAACATACATAGAAGAGATGCAAGGTTCTGAAAAGGAATAAACAATAGGCCAGAATCCAAAAATAAAATCCCTTAAACTGCCTAAGGGATGCGATGACACTTAGAACTCGCCTAGTGAATTGAGTCTCCAGAGAAAAGTGTCAGATTCCAAAGCTCAATCTCCAACTTTCTAAGGAGGGATTTTCCAAATTCCCAACTGCTGGCTCACAGTAATAAAATAATAAGAAATAGAGTTGGGGACTGGCTCAGTGGCACTTGCCTTGCATGCACAAAACCTTGGATTCAAGTACCACAAAAAGAAATAAGAGAAAAAGCAAACAACAAATTAAAAAATAATAACTCTCATGATAAGTGATTCTACTAAACATTTAGTAGGAATGGTTTTAAAGACCTACAGAAAGCTATTTTAAATTTGTGTTCTATTTCCATGGAAGAGAAATCAATGAAGAAAAAGAATTCTTACCTTTAATTGAAGAATATTTTTGGTTAATCTCATTTTTCAGTCTGACTTGTAATAAAGACATTGAGATCCTTTGCTAGTTGTACCATATTTTTTTTTATTGATAAGTAGCATTTGAATTCATAACTTGGGGAATTATGAATGAATTTGTATTAAGGCGATTTTTTTAAAGAAGAGAAGCCAATTACCAGGCTTTATAAGACAGTACAATCTCCAAGAGTCCCTTAGAGGTGGAATACACTGCTTGATGGGATATTTCATTCAAGTAGACTGCCTCTTAGCTGGACAGCTAGCTACTGCCTCTCTGTCTATTCATCATTTGCTTCTGTAGTCACTGTTCTACAGTAAAAATTCTGATGGTGTCACTTTTCTGAAGGATGGCCTTCAGAATCATTATTTATGATCTTCTTCTCCATGAACAGTCCTTACCATAACAGATACCAGTGTTTGTAGTTGAACTCTCTCCCTCCAACAGCTCTGCCAAGGATCTCCACTCTGATGACATGAAATTTTCTCTGCTCCCTGAAAATATCATTTCTTCTATGTTCTTTCCTTTGACCAAAATGTTCCTCCCCAAAGATGTATCCAGGGGAAACTTGTTATCCTTCAAACTTGGCCCAGACCTAATTTCCTTGATAAAGTAATTGACCTTCTAGGCAGAATTAGCCCATCTGTCCTCTGCTATAGAATAGTTTTCAAAGTGAATCTTCAACATCTATTTGCTTTTCTAATTTTTTTTTCATTTGAAATATAATTTGCTTAGTTTAGGGAACCATGGTTTCATCTGGTATCTCTAGTTCATTACACAGTAGTGGCTTAATAAATCTTTGCTGAAATACTAAACAAAGGAAAGAAACCAGTAGTTCAAAACCCCGAAGATGGAGGACGGAATTAACCACTTATCATACATTTAATCCTATTCTTATGATTTTAGATACTCTTGTGTGGGAGATCAACCTTGTGACTGAGTCACACTCCCCAGCTGGGTGCTGAGATGTTCAGTCACAGAAATGTGGCAGAGCTTTCCCCACCCTTCTTGGGTTCCAGGGTCTGTGTCTTGTGCATGGGTGTGTCTTGCTACAGCCCCATGGGTGAAGCTACCCTCACCTGTTCCTTTGTAATCTAACCCCTTGCCCTGTTTAGGATAGAATCTTCCATGGAAGTGCCTTGTGTGTGTCCCCTTCTCTTACTGTGCCCTTGGGTGTGGCCTACCCAGGTGTCAGTCAACGTGCTGACAGTGGACATCATGAAGATACTCAGCCCCCTGAAACCTGACCCCTTGCCTCATTTGAATAGCTTCTCCTCAATAAAAGGGGTCAGTGCATGCTCTTGTCTCTCTCTTTTTGCGGACCCTTAAGGTCAGAGGAGCTGTCACAGCGACCCCAAACAAATGGTGCTGGGAAAACTGGAAATCCATATGCAACAAAATGAAACTGAATCCCCTCCTCTCACCATGGACAAAAGTTAACTCAAAATGCATCAAGGAGCTTGATATCAAATCAGAGACTCTGCATCTGATAGAAGAAAAAGTTGGCTCCGATCTACATACTGTGGGGTCGGGCTCCAAATTCCTTAATAGGACACC